CTAGGCACAGAAGAACCATCTAAAAACTGATCCAGATGCTAATAAATAGTTAACCCAGAAAAAGGAAATGAAGCTCAGGGAGGTTAAGTCAGTAGCTGAAGGCCACAGAGCTGGGATTCGCACCCAGGCGGCCTGCTTCTTGATCACTGCTCCCTGCCCTTCTTCCGACCTGAAGCGCCGGAAGCACACCTCCATCTTCACTGTCTGCAAGCACATGCTGGGGAATGTTTGAAAAGTCCCAGGAACTTGGTGGAGGCCAGTGCGACAGGAGCAGGGTGGGCGAGTGGGCAGAGTTGCGCTCTGAGCAGACACAGGGGCAGATCACACAGGATGGCTTATTTATTGAGTGCCCGTCCGGGGGCAGGGACCACAGCCTGAGACGTCCTAGGAGGAGAAGCAGACAGTGGGCTCATAAAGTGTGAAATATATTGGATGGCGATAACTGCTCTGGAGTGAAATAAAGCAGGGAGGAGAATAAGGATGCTCTGCGGGGGTTACCATTTTAAATATGGCTTCTCTGAGAAGGTGGCATTTGGGCAAAGATTTTGAGAGACTTTGGACTTTGAGAGAACAAGCTGTTCCAATATCAGAGGTGGAGGAAGCAAATGACCGGCAGAGAAAACAGCGTGTGCAAAGGCCCTGAGGTGCCTGGTCCTTGGAAAGAGTAAGAAAATCAAGGCATGTGGAGCAGAGTAGGAGAGACGGACAACAGTGACATCAGAGAAGAAGGAGCAGGTCTTGCAGTCTCCCCACCATGGCAGCACCACAGTTTTACTCTGGGCGATGAGGACCACTGAGGCGTTCTGAGCAGAAAAGGAACATGACCCACCTCCTGGGTGCAGAGACCCCTCAGGCTGTGGGCTGCCAGGGGTTGGCCTCCTTGTGGGCATCTGCTCAGTTTAGGCTGACAAGACCAAATAGGAAGTCATCAGTCACTCTCTGGAAAGACATTCCTCCTTGAAGTGGTGGAGAAGAAAGTCTCCCGTTCCTTCCTGTGGGATGTTGTCCAAACCAGTGAGCAGTGATGGAGCAGGGAACATTCTGGAAGCTTCCGGGGGCTCAGTGCAGCCCTCAAGGCCCCACAGTCCTGTTAGCAGCTTGGTTCAGTGCCTCCTCTCAGTGGGAGTGGGTGGTGAGTGGCAATGTCCTGGTGCCATGATGTTCCTGCACCTGGGCACTGCCCACCACAGCCCCCATGAGGGCAGAGCTCCATCACCTGCCTCCGGTCCCTACTGCTTCTCCGTGAGGCTTCAGCCAATTCACTGAATGCTACCAGTCTCTGCAATGCCTGCAACTCCATACCCACCCTCCCATCTCACGCCACATTTTTCTCTGTAACACTTAGGACCACCTGACACACTTCATATGGTTTAATGCACGTGAATAGAGTCTGTCTGTCCCTCCAGAGTGTAAGCTCCCAGAGAGCTGGTTTTGTGTTTATTTTCATTGTTATCACCTTCAGAACTTAGAGTGGCAACTGGCTCGTGACAGATACTTGGTGACTGTTGAGTGAATGAATGAGTGAGTGAATTTTCTTTACAGTATTGGGCTGACATTTCATCATAGGATTAGGCTATGTGAATAGACAGTCTTATAAGTCAAAGATGCTTCAATGTCAACTTAAGTGGTTCAGCCTAACACTTCTTGTTACAATTGACATGTCTTTGTTTATTGGCTTGCATAAGCCCTTTCTTATCCACTCTCCCAATTCAAATGTCCATTCATGAAGGCAGAATCCTGTTGTTCTGTAGGCCTAGCTTCTTGGCACATGATAGTTGCCCAATAAATGTTGGTTGAATGAACAAATATATAGAAGAAGAGAGTGAATGAAGGAATGGAAAGCAATGTTCCTCTCTAGAATGAAAAGCCTGACACACACAGTTCCATTGACCCTCTTGACAATCCCATGAATATTGGTAGAGAATAAATGTTAATGAACTCTGATGCTTTTAAGAAAAATTCCAATACCAGACAAAAGTATTACCCCTCTGAGTCAGTGAGCAGTGTTTATGGAAGAATTTCCAAAGCTTCTTGGAAGCTCAGAGAATTCCTGACGTCTTAAGAGGCTCTGGTGGGTCGTCTTCCTCAGTGTTCTGAAAATGCCTGGTGCCTTGTACTGCTGGTTTGGGAATTAGTGGCTTGATAGTGGACAGTGGGGTTCAAGCATGTCATTAGAGATCAATAGAAATTTCTGGACCCAAATTGGTAATCAGAGAACTCTGCAGGGCCAGGAGAGCCATGGTCAAGATTGGCTCTGGGGGGTGTACAAGACAAATAACCCCTCTCCTGCTCAGGAAGGTGAGACTTGGTCATACCAGGAAGGCTGGAGACTGGAGTGGATGCAAGAAGATGGATGTGTGCTGATTCTCCTCCTGTCCACAAATAGACATGAATGACGCATTCCAGCCCCAACTCAGGCAGGTTATAGTCATTGACAGACATGCCCATTTCCACATTTCAGGGGATTATGTTCATATTTGGGGGGGTTCTATCTTCCTAGGATCCTGAGTTTCCATAGCAACAGTGAAACTACCACTCCTCTACTGGGGTTAACTATAGTAACTCCCTTATATATACGAACAAATTCTGTTCTGAGAGCATGTTTGTAAGTCCAATTTGTTCATAAGTCCAACAAAGCTAGCCTAGGTACCCAACTAACACCGTCAGCTATATAGTACTGTACTGTAATAGGTTTATAATACTTAACATACAGTAATACATTTAAAAAGCGAACAAAAATTAAAGAAAACATTTTTAATCTTACAGTACGATACCTTGAAAAGTACATTCGTCCAGTATAACAGCCGGCACACAGGGGCACGTTCGCATCTTTGAAATTTCAGGGGGCTTACTGTAATTGCAGCTTTCCACCAAACTAAGACATCAGAGGGGCCGTAAGCTTGTTTAGCCCAAAATGGGAGACAAAACCAGCATGTGATGTCACCACACGTGTAATGCATGCAACACGGAAGGCAGGAAGACTTCACTTTTTAATACAAATGAACCACAAAACTTTGGGACATGAACCCCCAAAACTTCCCCATTCACAGTTTAAACTGGCTAAGTGACAAGATCGCTCCCGGAAGAAAAGAGTTTTTGGTGGTAGCAGATGGAGTGGACTTGGGAAAGTTGGTGAAAAGCATAGAATTTGCCTCTCTGCCCTTATATCTCTGTGCCTCCTTCCCCAGCCTAGGGGATAAAAATAAGTAAAAGAATTAAAATGGTAAAATTTTAAAGTAATAAATTATAATAATCACCAACAAATCAAGCCAAGGAGGAAAGTACATTAGGGTCCCCGCCCCATTGTATCAGGCTTTCCTGGTGGCTCAGATGGTAAGGAATCTGCCTGCAATGCGGGAGACCTGGGTTCCATCCCTGGGTTGGGAAGATCCCCTGGAGGAGGGCATGGCAACCCACTCTAGTATTCTTGCCTGGAGAATCCCCATGGACAGAGGAACGTGGAGGGCTACACCCCATGGGGTCACAGAGTTGGACACGACTGAATGACTAAGCACAGCACAGCTCCATTATACCAAGACGTCTCCCATCCGTATAACATGAACACACCCTCAGCTGTCAGGTCACTGGAAGGACAGGCTGGGTCTGCAGGGACGGCAGACAAGCAGGCGGCCCATGCCCAGGAAGGGACCAGCCTCTGCCAGCTCCTCCAGGTGAGACATGTAGCTAAATGTTCCCTTTTCTGAAGGAATCTGGACTTTTATGGGAAGGATCCCAATTTTAAAAATGTTGACTGCTAAATCGCCGTTGGCATTTGTTGTTGTTATTGTTGTATAGTCGCTAAGTCGTGTCTGACTCCTTTACAACTCCATGCACTCTAGGCCCCCAGGCTCTTCTGTCCATGGGATCCTCCAGGCAAGAATACAGGAGTGGGTGGCCGTGCCCTCCCCCAGGAAATCTTCCCGACCCAGGGATCTCACCCGTGTCTCCTGCCTTAGCAGGCAGATTCTTTGCTGCTGAGCCACATAGGTCTCATTATAAAAAGCGAAAGAGGAAAGAGGGAAGGAAAGGCAGGAGAAATGAAGCAGAGGGGAGGAGCGGGGAGAGGGAGGGAAGGGGAAGAAAGAAGCTCAATTCAAATGGTTTGCCATGAACTCTTCCACGAGATTCTGCCTGTGTGAAAGCTGGTCCCACCGGTGCCTTTTTTCTGTATGCTGTCATTTCTCATGGTTCCTCCCCACCAGGGTACACAGGTGGTCACTGTTAGGGGCAAGGAGGTCCTTGTGTCCTCTGATGCCTACTGATGGGTTCTTCTGGGGGATGACCTTGGGTGACAAGAGATCATCAGAGTGGGGAAAAGATGCTCTGCTTAGAGGAAGGGTCCAGCCCTGGGACCCCCTGCCTCGGCAGGGCATTTGCAGAGGGACCAATAGAAGGACATTTGGACTCATGGGGGGCTGAGCATCCCACTTCACAAGAGTGATCAGACAGGACCAAACCCTGAGATTCGGAGGCTCCATAGAAGTGTCAGATTTGAATGCCTGACGGCCACTTACCATGTGTGTCAAACAAGGAAAACTGCGTGTCGGTTTTCCCATCTGTAGAATGGGGCCAGTTGCATTACTTCACTCCTATGGTTATTCTGGGTGACATTAGTTACATGGCAGTAAGAAGCTTGAAGCAGTAGCCCTATCTAGGGTAAGAGCCATACATCTTGGCTGGTATTTGCAGAAGACCTGGGGGTGGCGGGGGGGACAGAGAGAGGATTTTTCCAAAGAGGGAGAAGAGAGATTCACCTCCGCACAGGAACCTGCAGCTCCGCTCACGTGCTCCTGGCACGTTAAACAGAAAACGTGCACACAGGGGAGGAAGTCTTGTGGGTGTGAGGGTTTCCCGGGCTGATCCTGCCGCCCTGGGGAGAAGCCGGGGATGCACACGGTGAGTCAGACCAGGGAGCCGGCTGGCTGTGGGGGGACCCAGGATGCGGCTCCCTGCAGGGCGCTGGGTTGACCTGACCTGTGTGTCTCCTCCTGCCTCCCCAGCACATGCGAGAGGCCGCAGAACGGCGGCAGCAGCTGGAGTTGGAGCATGAACAAGCCCTGGCCATCCTCAACGCCAAGCAGCAGGAAATTGACCTCCTGCAGAAGGTGAGCTGGGCTGGGGCTGGGGGCCTGGGAGGAGGCAGGCGATGCACTGGGAGCCTGGAGCGTGGGTGACTGGCTGCTCTCCCGAGCCTTTTCTCATGCGCTCGGGAATGACTTCTTCTTGGCGTGGAAAGATTCCCCGTGTTCTCTAGTTTCTCCTCAGTTAACTTGTGATTATGTTCTAAGCTGCACAAATCAAAGGAAAAGCTCTAACAGCTGATGCTGGCGAGATTGTAGGGAAAACGACACGCCTGTGGGTTATTGAAATGGGGTGTGAGTTGCTTTATCTCTGGGGGCAAGTGACCTGACAGCATCCTTGAAAACTAAAAACACAGGTCTCTTTTGACCCTGCAACCTTCTGTTCTGGGAATATGCCTGTAAGAAACACAAGAACCAGTTCTGAAGAATGGTTTGGTTGGGTTCGACTTGGATTGTCGTCCTGCTGTGTGGGCGTAGGATTAAACTGAACGCCCATCTGAGGGTGAGGCTGTGTGAACTGTGGGGCATCCATACCACAGAGCAGCATGACCACATTGGGAGGAAGAAATTCGGCTTATAGATGCCATCACATCGGATTTACATGATGTGTTATTAAGTGAGCAAATCAAATTTTGGGGCAATATATGTAGCATGATCTCATGAACCAAGGACAAGAGAGGGAGAAAGAGAGAGACAGGGAACACAAAAAGAAGAAAGTGATGGAGAGGAGTAAGGACAGAAAAGATGTAGGAAGAACGAAGGACAGAAACCAGAGGGAGGGAGAAGGGGACAGGAGGAGGGGACCAAGCAGTTCAGAAGGTGTATCCCCATGGCACCTGGGGTGGTTTGGGGACCAAGAAAGTTAGCATCCTTAATCGGCAGCCTTAGTCTTCCTGTCTCTGTCCAGATGAATCTGGGAACCCTTCCTTCAGAACCATGGGACTTGGCATCCCTGTGTATATTTCTCATTGCATTTTATTCCCGAAGCCCTGGGTCCCCCATCCATGGGAGAGCAGCCCAGCCCTCCCAGGCAGGACTCAGCTTGACCACTGATGCAGGTGGTGGTCCCAGACACCACCGCCCACCCCCCCCACAACTGGGATGAGCAGCCGACACCTCCTCCTCCCCCATCGCGTGGCGCCCCCACCCCCAGCCAGCCCCTCCAGATCTTTGATCTCAAATAAAGGACCCAGTGGCTCGCCTTATCTGGCTGGAGATCCCTATCTGTTGGAGTATTTTGCTCCTCCCAAGTTTATTAGCAGAGCATGTAACATCAAGCAGATAACCTCTGATGCTGTTTTCCTAATCATTTATGGAGACCTCGTGCTCAGGATAGATTTCATTAGGCTGGGGCGATAGAGACTGTCACAGTCCTTATTACCTGTCATAGTAAGTTGGCTGGCACGCTGAGAAGCAAGATTTCATTAGATGCTATCCAGAAAGGATATTGCTGGGATGCAGACAGCGATATTACTCTTCTCCCTCTTTCTGTGCGTGAGGGACCTTCCGGTGCCTGGTACCTGCACTCCTTCACTGCATCCCTGGGAATCACGTCCCCAGGCTGGGAGCATCCAGGACAGAAATACAAATATTGTCCAGCAAGGGTGACAGGTTGGCTTTTCTTACCAGAGCATCCTTCTCTTCTAGCCTGGAGTTTTATCTATAAAGCACTTGATGCCAAGGAAAGTGCACTAGAGCCAAGTCCATATTCAGCTCCCAGTGTCTCTCTTGAGCATCATCCAGCTTCCTTTGCTTTTGGTTTTTTTTTCCCCCTGAATTCATCCTTGCCTCTATTTTGGACACACTGATGCTTCCTCGGGAGGTGGGGGTCGGGGGGAGCAGAGGAAGAAAATCTAATGAAGGATGAATGTACAAACCTTGTATTTTCATAGAGCTCTGATTTTTAAAATAAAAAAAGTATTCGAAGAGAAAGGTTGAAACTCGAGTGGAACGAGATTGGTGAGTTCTTTCCAGAGTTCACGTCTCTGTTCTATTTCCAGCGCGGACAGCCCTGTCCATTTGCTGTCCGGATCACTCAGTCATTCATTCACTCATCAGCACATGCTTGCTGGCTGCCACCTATGTGGCTGCTCAGCCGTTGTTCTGGAAACCAGGAATGCAGTGCAGAGTTGGACAAGACCTCTGGCTTACAGAGTGAGAGTAAGCGAGCAAGCCATGAAGAACTAAACAGTTCAGATGCCGGGGGTGCCATAAAGGAGACGCACGGAATGCAGACTGATGAGGACAATGACTTTCTATGGGGTGCAGTTGAAAGGAGTGGCAGACACCTATTTTAGAGATGCTCGCATCCTATGGAAGGCCAAATCCTAGCCCTTGTCCCTCTACCATAATAAGAGTCACCGGAGCGCTCTGAGTTCCAGTTTGACCATCCTGAGACAGCAACGTGAGATAGTTCCTAGAAGCTGTCTACAGTCCCATTGACTACAAGTCCCATTATTTATTTTTATTGGAGTATAGTTGATTTGTGGCTTCCCAGGTGGCGTTGTGGTAAAGAATCTGCTTGCCAACGCAGGAGACTTAGGAGATGCACGTATGACCCCTGGATCAGGAAGATGCCCTGGAGAAGGGCATGGCAACCCACTCCAGTACTCATGTCTGGAAAATCCCTTGGACAGAGCAGCCTGGTGGGCTACAGTCCATGGGGTCACAAAGAGACACAACTGAAGTGGCTTAGTGCCCACACACATAGTTGATTTATAATGTGTTAATTTCTGCTGTGCAGAAAAGTGATTCAGCTACACCCCTATATATATATATATATATATGTATGTATATGTATATATATATGTATATGTATATGTATATATACACACACATATATTCTTTTTATAATGTTCTTTCCCATTTTGGTTTACCCCAGGAGATTGTTATGGTTCCCTGTGCACTACAGTAGGACCTTGTTGTTTAACCATTCTATACATAGTAGTTTGCATCTGCTCATCCCAAACTCCCAATCCTTCCCTCCCCTAATCCTCCTCTCCCTTGGCAACCACCTTCTGTTCTCTATGTCCTTGAGTCTGTTTTTGTTTCATAGGTAGGTTCATTTGTGTCATATTCTAGATTTCACTTGTGAGTGATATCATGTGGTGTTTGTCTTTCTCTGTCTGACTTATTTGACTTAGTATGATCGTCCCTGAGTTGCATCCGTGTTGCTGCAAATCCCCTCACAGGCTTTCTTGGACGCTGTCCTGTGGGACCCAGCTTCATCTCAGCAATGCCATGGCTTTTGCTAAATCTCCTGTGTGCGGATGTCCTGCTCAGTGGTTAGTGTCCTGCCCTCCTCCTCTTTGACCCAGAGGCACACTTTGAGAGGGTCCATCTTCCCAACCCCTAGGCTTCCAGGATCCTACCCTCTTCCAGTTTTCTCCTTCCTCACAGAAGCCCTGTAAGCATCCTCAAGACTCAGCCTGCAACCCACGTCTCTTTTTTTACATTATTTATTTATTTATTTGGTTGTGCCAGGTCTTCCTTGCTGCACAAGGGCTTTCTCTAGTTGCAGTGAGCGGAGGCTACTCTGGTTGTGGTGCTTGCACTTCTCATTGCGTTGGCTTCTCTTATTGTGGAGCATGAGCTCGAGGGTGTATGGGCTTCAGAAGTTGTGGCTCCCAGACTCTAGAGCACGAGGTCAATAATTGTGGTGCTCAGACTTAGCTGCTCGGCAGCAATGTGGGATCTTCCTGGATCACGGATGGAGTTCGTGTCTCCCGCATTGGCAGGCAGATTCTTTACCACTGAGCCACCCAGGAATCCCTCACATCTCTTCTTGATCTCCACTGCTCCCTCCGTGACCTGGTCTGGTTCCATGGGTGTGATTGCCATCTGTGTGCCGACTCCCACATGTGGATCTCCAAGTTGGATTCCACCGAACCCCACTTCTTTGGTCCAACTGGATGTCCAGCTTGCATGATCTCAAACGTCCTGTCCCAAGCTGAAGTCCATTCCGTCCTCAGCAAGGCATGCTCTGCACATCTTGCCAGGCTCTGCACAGGGCAGTGTTTCCTTTTTGGTACAGCCTTTCCTTTTTCCCTGGAGGGAATTGCCTCTTTCTGTGTGTTTGCTCAGTCTCCTCTGTGCTCATCACTCTCTTATTCCCAAACTTTCTGCCAGAGCATTAAAATTTCTCTCAAGACCATCAGACTCCTCGGAGGATGTTTTCATTCCATTTTCCTCTGAGACATCCTGCTTGGAGCCCAGCGTCATCTTCCAGTCCAGGCTGGTTCCCCCAGAGGCCGGATGCTAAACTGGGTCTAGAAATGTCCTTTACCATCGTCTTAGGAATCCCCTTGACACCACTCTGTAGTTTGTGGGATTTGCTTCTTCCCAGACCCTGAAATATTCTTTTTTCTTGATGTACAGCATGTGTGTAAGGAAGCCAGGGATATATCTTCCCATGAAATGCAAGTGGACTTTCCGACCCTGTGTAGTCCTTGGAGATCGCTTTGTGGTTTCAGCTTCATCTCTGGACTCGGCCACCCTAAGGAAGGTCCAGGCTTTCAGGGACCCAGCTGATGTCAGGGACTCAGAACTTTCTCCAGGGAACCTCTCCCTCCTCCCTGGAAGTTCAGCTCTTCTCTCTGCTCAATCTGGTGATTGGGAGAAGCAAGGGAAATAGTGGGCAAGTGAGAACACCTGTTGAATTGAAGAATGGATGAATGATCAAGCTGCCCAAGGCTATTCTAGTGGGAGTCAAGGTGAGATTATTCCATTGGCCAACCCTTATTTCTGGTAGCTGGTGGAGATGTAAGCTTAAAAAAAAAAAAACATGGAAATCCAAGCAGATAGAGTCCTGTCTACGAGGACTTTTCCACGGGACACCTGCTTCATGGAGATCACTGAACCAGGAGCTTGGCCGAGAGTCATCACTTTCATTCATTCGGCAAACAGTCCTTGAGCATTGCATGTCGGCTGTGTGACGGCTAAGGACACAGCAGTGAGCCAGGCTGTGAATATAGTCTATGGACAATGACAATAATAGTAAAAGCTACACCATGAACATTTGTACTCAGTGTAGCATATTCTGGGCCCGGTACCTGGCAGGCATCTGTCATCTTATTTAAGCTCCTTCCCACCTCTGACTCCTCCTGCCCTATTGCCCTTCCTGCAGCCACACTGACCTCCTCTCTGTCACCCAAACATCCCCCTCTCTGCTCTTCCCTGAGAATGCCTGGCCCCCAGATAATGACAGAGCTGGCTTATTGTTGTCATGGGAGTCTCTCCTGGCTGCCCTGCCTGAATGGACTTCATCACCCTGCTCTGGCATTCTCTGCCACTCACCCCCTTTAGTGCTGCCACTTGCTCATTGTTGTCTGCATCCCAAGTGGAATGTCTGCACTCCCAGGACATTGCCCGACACTGAGCAGGTACTCAACAAGTGATGCTTGGGAACTTTGAATGAATGAATGAGTGAACAGAGATACTCAAGAACTTTGAATGAATGAATATGGATGAATGAATGAATAAATGCAGGAAAGACCTAGTAAGACTCCACTAATTGGTCCTATAACAGTACCAGGATAACTGATGGTAAGTTCCGGCCATTCTTGGTAAGTGTCTATTAAATGTGTGAGTGGTGACAGCAATCAGCTCCCACTGTAACCTGTGGGATGCAAGTCCCCTCACAGATGCAGGACCTGAGGTTAGACAGCATGGTCCGGGTTCCCTGGAGGCCTGACTCCAGAACCCTAGTGTTTCTCTAGGAAACCGGTGAGCAGAGTCCAGTCGCTCTAACTGCTTCCTTTTCCTGTGTGGGTTACATCCTCATCTTATTACAAGTAGCAGTTATAATCTCAGTGCATGAGCAAAATTGTCCACATTTAAAATTCATCTGCAAATGCTACTGTTGTTTTAAATTCCTCCTGTGCGGGAAACAAAGGCTTCTAGGCTTAAGGCCATTATTGACATGCACACTGCTGATAGAAACCAAACTTACCCTGCAGCTCATAAAACTGCTTTGTCTCCATGTCAAATGCTTCCCTTGCATGTTTTGGATTTAGCTGTTGTATGTGGATAGCAGGGACATCTCAAGCTGACCTGAATTCATTCAGTGTCTTGATTTCTCCTACGATGCATGCCTGGGATATTGATCAACCCTCACGGCTTTCTCAGCTCTGTGGAACCCAGGGACCTGATTTGAGGATCTGTACATGCCGTAGTTTAGTTCCATGAATCTCACTGTTTTTTCTGTGGAGTTGATATTAACAGCACCTGTAAATGACCCCCACCCACTCTCATCTCATCCCACCCCGCATCCATACTCCCAACCCCATCACCAAGGTGCCTGGGAGCTTATTACTCTGAGTGTTACATGCCCGTCTGTCCCAACCAAACGACCAAAGCTTTGGCAGCAGGAAACCTACGTCGCTCTTGAACGGTTACCCCGTCCCCTGAAACAGGTGTGTTTGCTGCCATGTTAACTCACCCCCTGGACATTTCATCCCTGGATGACAGGCACCTTCTTCTGACAGTAGGACTGTGGGTCTCCCTAGGAGTCAGAGTCCCTCTCAAGTCTAATGTGTTCTGTAGGAAACCGTGAAGGTCTCAGCCTCCCCATGTGCTGGCGGTGGCCCCCAAAATGAGCCTCGCTGAAGCTGTCGCCTAGATTCTGCAAGAATTCAGCACTGCCAATTTTAACTGTTAATTTTAGCTATCTATTCTGATTGCCCAAATGGCCCAGCTTGCAAGTAGCCTACGGAAACGAACTCCTGATTTGCGCTTGAAGCCAGAAACGAAGTTGTTACTGCCAGCTTGGCTGTGTTTTAACAGCCTGCGATGGAGTTTTTGGTTGTTTTTCATTCTGCCAGTTGAAAACTATCTTTGACTCAAGTGGTTCAATGGTGGTGTTATTTATATAATCCCTGTATGTTCTCTAGCTGTTTTGTCTCCCCCCACCCCCCCACCACAACCCCATTTCATGATTTATTGTCGCTCTTGTTTTTGCTTTGAAAGGAACAATTTTGAGCCTTTGAAGACTGAGCTGGATTCAAGAATGGTCGAGTTAATTTGCTGGGTTCTATTCACTTCCCCAGCTCTTAAAAACCTCATTGGAAATATGTGCGAATGAAATGCATATGAATGAACACTATGGAAATATCAGGCTACTTCTCGCTTTTAGTCCGTGCTGGGGACGCCAAGCCTTTCCCTCTTTCCGACTAATGGAAGTTTTCAAGTGAGAAATAAAAGCTGTTGAGACAGCTCTCACTGGCTTATTTATGATATCCAACTCTTCTCTTTATTATTCTCCAGCCACCTGGAGAAACTATTCCTCCAGAACTGAGAATCCTAAATGTAAATCTCAGTTTAACAGATGGGCTCTTTCTTGTCTGTCATATGCTTAGTTGTGTCTGACTTTTTCGACCCCATGGACTGTAACCTGCCAGGCTCCTCTGTCCATGGGATTCTCCAGGCAAGAATACTGGAGTGGGTTGCCATACCCTCCTCCAGGGGATCTTCCCAATCCAGGGATCGAACCCACTTTTCTTACATCTCCTGCATTGGCAGCCGGGCTCTTTACCACTAGTGCTACCCTTATGCAGCAGTCCAATCTCACCAGCCTCTCCATTCTCTGCCAGATGAGGGGTGCTTTTCACTTTTTACAAAGAGCATCAAACCCAACCCAAATCCATTCCATCTTGCCCAAAGGAAGGAAAAAAAATGAGAACTGATTTAGACCCTGAGAATGTTGAGGCTTGTTAAAAGAATGAATATCAATGACCCACACTCCCTGATAACTTAGATATTAATTCTGCTGTCTTTTTCCCGCTGTAAACATTCACTCTTATGTCTTTTTTCATCATCCAAAAGGCTCAGGTTGAAGCTAAGAAAGAACATGAAGGTGCAGTGCAGCTGCTAGAGGTAAGTGAGCCAGCCCTGCTGGCTTTCTTCCCGGGGGTGAGTGAGCTCAGGGCATGCTGTGTTAATGCTTTGTAAAGTAGTAATCGACCTTTACTGAGTGCCCACTGGGCACCCATTACTCCTGCTGTTTACATATCCTCCCATGTCGTCCTTGCAAGCAGACTATCAGATTGGTATCATTATGAGTCCCATTTTTACATGTGAGGAAGTGGGGCCCAGAGAGGTTAAGCAATTTTCCTGTGGCCACACAGCCAGCATCAGAACTGCGGATCTCAGAGGTGGTCTGCTCTCCTCTGATTGCATGGGAAGCAGGGAGGGTGAGCCTGCTTCTTTGCAGGAGAAAGGGAAGTGGATCATTCCTACCAGTGTCAGGTGAATGAGGGTATTTTAAGGAACAGCGCTAAGCCTGAGGAAGTACCTGGCATGTGGGGAGGCATTTGCAGATTTAGAGAAAGGATGGCGAAGGGAATCGCAGAAGTGAACTCAGTCAAGGAGTGGCCACGGGCACTGTCCTCATGAGCACAGCAGGAGTCACGCTCCCCAGCCACCCGGAGGCCTTTCTCACCGGCTCTGATGGTGGGGGCTTGGCAGGAGACGGATGACGTGTCAGAATCACTCTTCTGTCCCCAGTTGGTGGCCTCCCATATTCTCGGGAGTAGAGGAAACTCCTGGGGTCCCCTGGGGGGCCTTTGCAGTCTGCATGCCTCATGCATAATAAATGGACATAAGGAATCTCCCTGTTGAAGACAGAGGTCCCCCAATTACTGACCCCACACTCAAGACACAACAGCAGAAGGAGGTGGCTGCACAGCATGGGGTGGCCCCACAAGCCCTCCTCCCCTAGTTCTATTCCATCCAGAAAGGCCAGGAGGGCCTCTCCCCTGGGCCTGCGTCTCTGCCTATGGGAAACGCCTGTCCTCTTTAAGATGACCTTGTCTCTTGTCCCCTGGGCAGCTGCACGACCACTTAAAACAGAATATGTGCATCTCTTATATTGCCTTTTAAAATCTATTCCTCCCCCAGGAAATGGTTTCATCATTATCATCATATATATTAAAATTGATTTTTTTGAAAGCGTCCATTAGCTAATGAATATCTGGAGGGCTGGGAGTGATAAATAGCAGGTGGGAAAATATATAACCCAGGAGAGTGGAAACAGACCTCCCAATGGCCATACATCTCCCTGAAACAGCATTTCATTCCCCTCGAAGGATCACCCACCGCAGTTTGATTTGCATAGTCTTCTGGCTGGAGGTCCAGTTTTTTTTCTTCCCCTCACCCCAAGCCCATCGATTTGATGGTCTGTGTTGTTTTAATCTGCCTTCTGAGCTGCCGCTCTGTGACAGGCCCGCCGAGGTCACGTCACCCGGGGCTGGTGCAGGGTGCAGGCCCCAACACGTGGGGGGCGGGTGTAACATGCTTTGGTTGGGAAAACAGAGAAGGCCACACAGATGGGCTGAGAACCTGGGTTTTCTTTTATTCACAATGTCTTCCTATCATTGTGTTTTGCTTTGCTCTTTACCCAGAACACGCTGGACAGCATGCAGGTATTTTAGCGAGTGATGTCCTCCCCTCCCATGTGCTTTGTGAAGTTTTGTCCCATGAGTGGACCGGCCGTGTGCCCCTGAGCCAGCTCCATCTCCCTCTTCTTCTGAACATGTGCAGCTTCTGATGCAGTCGTGGGTGCCTGGCTCTCCCTGGGGTTGGGGGAGTCGAGGAACTCCTCTTGGGAGTTCTGGCCCAGGGAGACGCTTTAATCCAGGCGTTGGGGCCCAAGGTTCTGTCCACTGTGAGTGATGAGCGAGCCCAGTGAAGCCGGCTTCCATCCTCAGGCTGGAAGGATGTTCTGTGAATTCAGATGACCGCGGGGAGCAGAACTGTCAGGATGATTCTGGCCTCGGGCCAGCCGCATGCTTGCACGGCTGAGAGCCCAGAATTCGGTGGGTCATCAGTATTCATGCCTTGCACCTGAGGGTCCCCTTGCTATCCTGTGTCATGGGCAGGCAGTGGCTTCTCCAGCAGTGGAGGGGCCCTTCCTTGTTCTTCTCACAGGCAGCCACCTGGGGAAGAAGGGAGATGAACTGTCTCTCCAAACAGGGTTTTGAGCCTTTTCCAAAACTCTGAGTTTGGCTGTGAATTTGTAGAACTGGTGATGACTTTACTCACTCTTGGGTTGTTCTCAACGTGGGCTTCCCGGACCCAGTGTGGGCTTTCCGGACCCTCAGTATCGGTATCACCCGGGAGCTCGTTAGAGCACAGATCCTCAGCTTCTGCCTGCAACCTGCTGGAGCAGAAATCCGGGGTGGGGCACAGATGTCTGTGTTTTAACCAACCCTCCCGCGCAGTTTAAGAAGCGTTGTTTAGAGAGTCTGCTAGGCTGGTTACAGGAAGGAGAAGTAGCTGAAGGAGGAGGGTGCTGGGAATCTTGGCCAATCCTGGCTCGGCGCCTTCGTAACTGAAAGTGTTGACCAAGAACAGCCTGAGCGAGTCCCCACCACCGGGTCCTCAGGAACATCTTCAGCAGGAAGTTCATGTTCTCCATGCCTGACTTCAGTGAGCCCCTCTACTGAGCAGAAAGACCCACTTCCTGGCACAGCTAGGGATAACAGAGTGATAGAGAAGGGCTGCCCTGGAAGTAGTGTTAGGTTAAAACCCCTCGGAACACTCACATGCACACATCTGGTTCTGTGGACGTCTCAGTCCTGTTTTCTGATGAGTGAGCAGCCAGGATGTTTGCGGATGAGAGGAGGGGTCTTTAGTCCTGGTCAGGACACCTGAGGACCGATCCGGGCTGGCTTGGCGGGCTGAGCAAAGACAAGGATCAAGAGTCAACTGAAAACACCTTTCCAGAATTGGGATGGAGAGCTCTGCTTGCAAACCCAACAACCTAAGAGCAGGTGGTAGTTGCGTAGCTTCCTTGATGCTTTATAAAGTTCAGGACAAAGAAGCAAAAGAAAATAGCCATAACAACAAAAACAGTGCCAACAGCAGTGTCTATTGAATCCTTCTCAGCTGGGCATTGTTCAGGATGCATCTGTGAGTTACCTAGGAGATGGCAGTCATATTGTCCCTCTCATTTCCATGACAACCAGGGGAACTGAGGCATGGTCAGGTGAAATGACTTCCCAAAGCCTCAGGGGCAGATGGCCAGGGGCAGAATCTGGATGCCAACCCCAGGAGTTTGGCGCCAGAATCCAAAATCTCCACCACTGTGTGGCAGCATCCTCTGACCTCGGAATCCTGACCTCCCTGCAAGTCAGGGTTAGCTCTCCTGCCACCAAAAGGTGGATTGGCTCCCGCAGCAGCCAGACTCAGAAACACTGGGCAAACAGCTCACCCTGAGCTCTGGGCATCAGCAGAGACAGGAATGCACATCTTGTGGTCACGAGTGAGAAGTGTGATGGAATTTAATCCTTTTAATACCGCCCAGGGAGGTTGATAGCTTCCTCCTCATTTCATTAAGGAGACAACCAAGGCACAGAAATGCTGACCCACCTGCCAAGAACACACAGCTCCTAAGAGCAGAGCAAGGGCCCTGAGAGTCCACAGGTAACACCACATCAAGTCGCTAAGAAAGTCAAGTGCAAAGAAGAAATGGTCCATGACTATAGGGCTGATAAATCATAACACCTGCTGGGCTGGGAGGCAGTGAGCTCCGGAATCCATTGCAGGGGGCATCTTCGCCCGTGATGAGTTGGTACCCACCTGTGTGTCTCAGTACTGAGGCTTTGTGTGTGCACCTCGTGTGGTTTGTGGCTAATTATTCAGGGCTCCCAGCGTTTGTTGGCCACTTCCTGGACCAAGGCGTCCACCTGCAGGTGATGCCAGAAAGAACCTGAACAGGTTCCATTCGTCCCCGAGTCTCATCCAAGAGCAGTTAGGGCCCTGAATCTCAAGGTGGGGGTCAGCATCTGGGTTGCCCATGACTTTTATGGGTCCTGGGCTCCTTTTGCTTTCATGGGATCCTTCCTCCCTTAAGATATTTAAAAATTATATTTTACATCTGCTTGGGTACAAAGATGAATGTAATCCAGCTTGGATTCATTATTATTATATTCATTTTCCCCCTGATTTTAAAGGAAATTAAAATGTAAACTTTGCCACAGGTCCGTAAACAAGGCCTGCCTTATGTAAACAAGGCCTGTCTTATGTCTTATGTTAAGATACTCAGTGATCATCTGGTAAGGAAGTGTTCTTGTGGTTAAATAAATCTGTTTTGTCCCATCAAACAGATGACCTTAGTCTCTGATCTCTTGGTCTCTTGGTGTAATTCAGGTTAGGTGCAGGTGCAAAATATTGCACTCAGCACAACGGTTAATTTCTTGGCACTGCAGATATAGGAATCCTCCATGAAGCTCCTCTCCACGTGGTAACTCAGGGATCCAGGATCCCTGTATCTTGAGGCTGTGCCAGCCAGAGCATATGGCTTCCTGATCACCGTGGTGGCAGGGAGAGCTCTTCTATGTCTCAGCTATAGAGGCAACAGGTGTCACCTCTGTTTCTGGGTCACCAGCCAGAGCTAGTGACCTGCAGGAGAGGCTAGGAAGGGCAGTCACCCTGAGTGGGGGCACTGTGGCGTGGCTCTGCCACATCTGAATTCTGGAGTCCATACAAGGCAGTGCAATTTTGCTACTAAAGTGTGACAATATTAACCAAGTTGAGAATCTGAGAAGTGCTCAGATGAAGAAGCTTAATGTTTTGCATTTCTATCTCTTAAGAATTCTCTTTCCCCCAGTAATTGTGGTGGGCATGGGTTCTCTGCCTCCTGGGAATAACCTTGGCAACCCTGTACCCATGAGTCTTAGCTGGAGGACAAGGTTGTTAGGAACAAAGAAACTGGGATCCTCAGGTGTTTGGGGGCTCACCTGACTCCAACTTCATCTCCCTAATGCTCCCCATCTCACTGCAGTTGGTGCCTTGAGGGCAAAAGCCACAGTCAACAGGCAGCCCTGGGTTCTGATGTCCCACTTGTGAAATGTATTTATCTGCACACAGGGCAC